TATTGACAACCTCATCTGCAATAGCCATGATCCAAACAACAGCGATTAAAAAACCCATCGAGCAGCGGACTAGAAGCCAACCCCGGTTATCGCCCTTGCCAGCAAAAAGCGCCACAAGTATTCCAGCTGCTAAACCCGCCGACCCTGTCCCGAGCAAGAGCCATTGCTTATAGGCAGAACCCTCTACGTAGGTAATCAGATTTTTTTCACTCTGGGACAAAAATCCGAGAAAAATCGACGTACTGAAAAGTACAGCAGTGCAGAACAGCGGCCCGAAAGCGCACTGAACCGCCATAAGCCACTTGTTGAACCTCAATTCGTGCATCTCCCGTAACACCACATCCTCGGAGACAAGGGTGCGTTCGATTCCATCCTCCTCAAAGATATTGATTATACTTGGGGCTTTTTCATAGCGGTCCCCGAGGCTGTCATACGGCCCCACCACGACAGGAAGGGTGATAGTCAGCGCGAACACCGCCGGGGCAGCGAAGACAGCCGCGACCTTTCCAAGTAAACTCTTCGTTTTGAATTCGTGCATCGTAGGGAAAAGGATGTGGCATATGCGCTTGAGAGCGAGACGTACAGTTTGGCGACGTGTTGCAACCTCGTGATGTGCGATGTCGCTGCTATTGTCGGGACGTAGAAATGCGCGGGTGTGAGAAATCTCAGGAATCCGCGGCTCGGTGTCACCGTTAATGAGAATGAGAGGAGATTCCGGTAAGGAAGGGCCCTGATCGGGGGCGAGATGAGAAGCTTGCGGCAATGAGGAACGATCGCTCAAGGGGACGTCAGACGAAGCGTCTGATGTTCCGCTATGTGAGCGCGACCGTGAATGGCCAATGCCGTGGTAATGACCACCAATGTAGGGTGTTAAGAGAGGTTCGAAACTGCCAAGCGCCGAGCCGACAGCTTCCTGCTGCAATGACGAAATCACACTTCGGAATTCAAGCGCGCCGACTAGGGAAAAGGATGGCATTGTCCGTGGGGATCGCGATGGTGACCTTGGCCCGGATTGCGAGTCATGAGACGAAGGTAAATCAAGGCGTGGCAGCAATGTCAAGCGTTCTTGGCCAGTCCTAGGGAATAACAATGGAGCACTGGAAGGCGAGCGTGAAGCTAGATGCTATGTGAGATCGAGTCGCGGAAATGACAACAACGCTCACGCTCATCTCGATATGGCTCGTGGTCCCAGTAGGGCTGAACGCCCTCGTCATCATACTCGCTCCGTATCCGAGCCTCTAATAGACACCTCTTCTCACGTCTGCGCTCCCACCAGCTGCCTACAATCACGGTGAACACGTATGTCAAGTACAGCACGACAAGGAGGGCCGCTTCCCAAGCATATATCCACCCATCATAAAGAATAAAAAGTAGCGTAGTGATGGAAACGGCGAAAAACGTGGTGTCTCGTAAGAATGGGCCTCGATTGACTCGAAAGGGTTTGATGATGCACATGGAACCCACGACGCAGGAGATAATGAAGGACGCCGCGCCCAAAAGTTCTCCTATGGCCAAACTTCCTGCATTTGTACGCAGGGCAGCAAATGTCGCAAAAACGTCGGGGCTGCCATTTCCGAACGCAAGCAAGGTGACGCCCGCGACATTTTCGTCTAGGTTGAGAAGTTGTGCGATTGTTGCCAAATTGGGGCAAAAGAAGTCTGCGGCGCTAATGCCGAGGGTGGAAAAAGGAAACCTAGCCAAAGCAGGAGACCAACGATTACAAACGGTCGTGCGGTGGGACTTGCGCAGAAATAAATTTGCAGGTATGGAATAGAAAGGAAGGTGTCTGATGTGGGACATGTGTCGTACACAAGCTCACATTGATCCTGGACAGGAACGGCTATTGGGATGCACTGAAGCAAGTTTGAGAATCGAAGTATACTATCAGTGAGTTTGGTCACGCACCTCGCCAGGGCCTTCGTTATAGGTGTCGTATTGCCCGCTCACCAGGAGACCAGGCGAGGACCGCTTGGAAAAACGGAAGTTGGAGGGCAAAGGCGCATGTCGGCGATGTATTCGACTGTACGAGCCTTGCGACCACAGGAGGGCGTTGAGAATCAATAGGGCGACGAACGCTGCTTTGACGGTGACGTACGACCCCATAGGCATGGACTCAAGGCGCCTCAAGTGACAAATGACATTGTTGGCAGAAATTTACATACCGTGGGAATGTGGTGGAGCTCATCTGTCACGTGAATGGAACACGTGCGTTGATCAACTGCAAGGGAAGTATTTCTCCATGTCGCAGCGCTCGGACTGGGCCAACTTCAGTTCAGTTAGCCGTAATCTTTTCTGATGACAATGGCTCAGATGACGCCATGTTTTCTGTACCTGACCTGCGAATCCTGCCGCGCGACTTCAGGTTCGCCCACCAACGTTTCTCCCTGATCAGATTATCTTCCATTTTAGTTAACTGGCTCCATGTTTTCCTCGAGTTCAAGTCCAAACGTTACGGTATCACTTTTCCAGCTCCAAGACGTCTTCGACGCTGCCTTAAGGGCATATAGCCAGAAGATAGGAACAGATTAACCTCCTACGCTGTAACTCTTCCAATGATGTACAGCACTCGAGATTCTTCAAGAACAGACTCCTAACTTTAACCAGTATCGGAATAGAGATTGGAAGGTTCAGCTCATGAGATGGCTCAGGCCAACTGTTGATATTCCACTCGAACCTTCTTCGCGCGGCGACTTAGGGGGTATTCCACCAGCGAGGTCGATATTTATTGGTATTGGCCTCCTACTCGCGGTATGTATACCTTCCCTCGATTGTGTCGGTAGCTTAACACCTAATCTCAGAGGCCGCAAAGGGAGTTAGCACCAGTTATGATGCGCTTATCGGGCTCTTCGAATGTTTCGAACGTTGCCTTAGCTGCCTTAACGTTCTCACCGAAATCCCCTCCACCGTGGGAGAAATATTGGCGAAAATAATGGTTGGACTGCTGGAAGTCCTTGCTCTGGCGGCGCAGCAATTAAAACAGGGCCACTTCAACGAGTTCATGCTAGTTGATACATCTCACTTTGCTTAGCATATCGCAGAGAAACTTGCCAAAAAGTTGCCAGGGAAAAAGGATATTGAAGCGGTGCTGCAGAGATTGGGCCGACTCACTATGGAGGAATCGCGGATGGCTGCTACACAAAGCATGGAGGTAATCTATGGTCTGTTCAACAACATGAAGGTGGTAATGAGTGGTACGGAAGTGTTGCCTGACATTACCTTCGGTGTGCTAAATGTTTCCTCTCAGACGGAAAGTCATCAATCGATAATATTCGAGAGGCTCTTGGTATGAGAACTTGCATCTGTAAATGAGTCGAGCTGACCGCAGGTTCCAGTTACAATACAAAGATATCGGATGATTTGAACGAGATGACATCCGTTGTTTTGATACCCCGATTAAAGGAGGCTGAGATCAGAACTACTTCAGTGTCAACTGCGAGAAAGCATTCAGAAGTGGTTCTCTTTCCCAGACCCATCGATAAACCACAAAACCACATTTGCAGTGCACACAATGGGACCACCGCGTGGTTCCTTGAAGGAGCCGTCTACAGTAATCTGGCAAGAGCATTCTGAGTCTTTGGTGAGTGGCATCTCAGTCGCGTTTTGTCTGCGTGGCCTATATTAGTGACCAGTTCTTCGATCATAAAAGATATCGAATCCATCTGTGCAACCAGATTTGTGTCAGCTGCATATTTTCACTTCGATTTCAGAGACACTAAAAAGCAAGATCGTCGGCCTTCTCTCTTCCCACTCAGCATTGCACCCGGTCTCACCGTGGTTACAACATCCTATAAGGCATGCGGGGAAGGGATCGCGACAACCCGTGGAGACTGTCCTAGTTCAATGTCTAAAAACACGTTCTCGCACTCTCTGGTCATGCCAAGTGTACATCATAGCGGATGCCGTGCACGAGAGTCCAAATAAGCCTGGAACTCCCTCTCCCTGTGAAAAAGCCCTGCGGCTCGTCAAGAGCTGGTTGATATACGCCATCCTGATTCCTGACATACGTCTCTGTGTCTCGAATCATCCCGAAGTCGACAACCAAACCGTCCTTGAAGCTTTGGCATCTTACGCTATGTCCCTTCGCCATCCAGGAAGCCAAAGAAGCGATTACATTACGTCGGTCGTTGAGTCAGATGCGAACATGCGGTGACGGGCAACTAGTCATCGACTCCCTGTCACACAAAGCTCGTGGGATGTAAGGCGTCACAATCAGTATTTTGTCCTGTTGTGGCTCATAACACGACACAGGTTTTGGCTTATCTGTCAGCTGGATACAGCTGGATACGCTGCGGCGTTGTTTTCCGGAGATCATTCGGCGTGCCCTGAATGAACTGCTCGTGTCCCTGGACGAAACACACGAGCGGATCCATATTCCCGGGAATCGACAGGGAGAAACGTGAACATGCTATCCACCTTTTCCAACATCCGAAGTTCTCTCGACGGCCTCTGCGTACCAAGGTACTTGCAGTGCAGAGGGTCTTGCAATTCAGTTTGACACAGCACAGCAATTCCCAGGTTGAACACGAGGTTGCGCCCTGGAGTCGCAGCTGAAGCCGTGCTGTCCGCATGTTCCACATGAGTGACCACTCTATAGCCCGACGACCATGACGCCTGCGACTATGACGACTACGATAATTGCAACTCCCGAATTGTGCAAATTTCCCATTACCTCGTAAAGCTCCGAATGTCTCGCCAAAGGGAACCCTTTCCCAGTTTTCATCTCTCCGGAGCCTGCGCACACAGTTGGTTCTGGGGATTTTGGGGAAGTCCAACACGAACTAAAGGATCCCCACTTTATTATGCTATCCTTTGTAGTGTCAGAAGCCTCGTGGAGCACCTCGTTATCACACGTCGACAGGGTCCGAATGAAATCCATGGTTGTTAGGGTATCCATCACAAGGGGTGGCAGCCTTGACACCCACTGCGACTGCACGACTTCCACTGGTGGAACATAAACGCCTATCGCCGCGTGATATAGGTCAAACGGGAATTACCGTTAACCTTCGATAGCTCAGTTGGAAGAGCGTGGGACTGTAATGGTAACGGTTCTATCCCGAGGTCGCTGGTTCGAACCCGGCTCGAAGGATGTTTTTGATAATTCTTCTAATGATGATTGCCGAGTGGAGCACTCTCGGGTGCAGATGCAGTAGCATAGACATATCTAAGTGCTACAACAATACACCTGGTCGATCGAATGGCACAATACGTTTGATTTTCAGTTACTCCATACGTACGAAAGATATCAGATCCGCGGCTCTCAAAGCCCAATCCAGCTACTTCTACCGCCAGGATTATGTAGCGTCGTCTGTCCAATCTTGACAACACCAGTTTCTACTTTGGAACCCTCCCCAACTCGCCTTGTTACTTCCTTGAAGAATTGCTCGCCAGAGACTACGACGGGTTTACCGGGACTGTCGATCGCGTCGATCAGTGGACTAGGTGGGGCAAAAGGTGTCGCTGTCGCCGTCACAAAGGATCCGTATCCGTCGACCTTGGGTACGGGCCCAACTTTTGGCGTCTCTGCGGGCGGTCGCAACACCGGCAGAAACGATTCCGCATACCATTCGTACCATACTTGGCGTTGGTCAGTTAAGCGCCATATAGAAACTCGAAGTTCGGAATTGCTCGGCAAGTATAACGGGTCCTATTAACGCAACCTTAGACGCCACCGGGGAACGTGGAGGAGGGGGAGAAAGACACAGCGGTGTTGTACGTGTGTCTTTACTAACCTTTAGGGGGAAAAACAGGGGGAACCACTCAGCATGTCCTTCGAAATATGTTCCTTCCGATCCGGATGTATGCTGAGTCCGACATCTCCGTACAAAACGGCCTCAAAGTAGCCAGCTAGCCCATGGAGAATGCCCGCGTGAGGGATATGGAAGGTCAACGCTGCAGATCGGATGTTGTGACTATTTGTCACTGGTAGCCCTAGTGGTGGGGGGGAGGGGGAAGTACGTAAAGGCGTCAGGGCATGAAGGACGTTTCACCACCACGGCGCAAGTGGGGAAAGCGCGGAAGAAAGTACTTGCCTCGTTCGTCGAGCACCACGTCACGCCTCGGATGTTCAAACTCCCAACATTCCTGTATTTGTGGGCCGCAACGTCCCCCATGATCAGCCCCCTGACCGCTGAGAATATTTACCGCCTGAAACATAACGACGTATGGCGTCTCTGATGCCTTGTTGTCGTCCTTTCCCGCGCGAACCTCGTTATAAAGTTTAGATGAGGACAGCGGTGCCATGTAGGCAGTGTACGATGCCGGAATTGAAATTCCATTTGCTAAAAAAGGAGAGAGTGGAGAAGAGGAGAGAGAAGAGAGACCATGAAACTGGGAAGTGTGGGACGCGCGCGACCGCGACGGGAAAAAAGAATCAGGAGGGACCTACGTTTCAAGAAGCGCATTGCGCCGTCGAGGCACTCCGGACTGAGTTCGTTGTCTCCGAAGGAGCCCAACAGTTCACTGACAACAATGTCCGCAGGTTCCGGAAGTACGAGGGACCGCATGTCGCCAAACAAAATGCCGACCTTCTCCCTCCATTCGGAAGCCTTTCGCTGCTGCAGACTGAAAGGCGGGGGTCACGGGTACGTTAAATGGATATCGTTTTGGGTAATGTGCACGGTAAAACTTACGTTACATAGGCGCTGGGATTCTTCTCTATCGCATATACAAATGTGTTGCGATTAACGCGCGCAATGGCGCTCAGACACCGCGCGACGAGAGGCCCTCTTCCAGCTCCCGCCACACAGATAACACTAGAACGGTGCCGATATCACACGTGTACCATGACTCGACATCAATCAATTTACTCACATCCTTTCTGATGCAGGCCAGTCGTGTAGAGCAGCGTACACAGCCTACGGACGTAATCGCACTTTATCTATTCTGAATCAAGCCACCGCATCATAACTTACCTCTTCATACTTTTGATATTTCACGGGATCTTGTTCGAAGGTTTGATAGGTGATTCCCTGCAAGTTATCCATAAGGGGCTATGGATATGAATGGAAGTCAGTACGCCATCCACGTGACAACGTCGGCACAAACCTGAAGAGGTGCCTGTAGATAATCCTGATATCCCCGTGCGAAATTCTCCACCGTGCCTGCTGTCTTGGCTTGCACCAACGCAGGGCTGGTGTTATCTAAGTGGCGCACATATTGCACATACGCGGCCTCGCCTCCTTTTACGTGTAGTCCAGCGTTAGTATCAGACAGGATGACCACAGGCCGGTGCTGAACGTGGCAGGGGTAAGAAGAGAGCTCAGAAAGACGCTCAGAGTTGAACTTGACGCGGCCTGACCTTCATGGCATCGCGAATGAACGATTGCGAACCCTTGGGTAGAACAGGATACCCCTTCGTATTTGCAATAAATGACGACGCTGGGATGAATATGTGTCTGATAGGCTCCGCAACCCAACGATTCAAGACGCCCGGTACTGACGGCAACGGGGGCGTGAGGTCCAGGGCTAGACAGCGAAGTATGGTCAGGCACGATCCTGGACGCCAACCACACCAAAGCAAGCACTTAAGGTTAAGCGCGGATTGTAAGCACAGATGGACCTTATGGCATCCCACATCTCCCATGTGGCATTCAGCTCAGCCTCTGATGCTTTCGTTGACGACACCGTCCTGGACCTCGGTGAGCGAATCGGTGTCGATGGCGAGGGAGCAGATAAGAACTGAGAGGATGTTTTGTCACACGGGTTGCCAGAGGCGGAGCGCGGGGAGGTTGCCTGGAAGATAGAGGGGTCATAGATGGGAAGTCGGATGGAAATTTGCATGTACGGGGTCCGCGCGAGACAGCTGTTGACGGCACGTCCGTAGGACGCGATCTCACTGCGATTGCGAGGTGGTGGAAAGATTGCGGTTTGTACATCCAAGTATGACGCGTAAGAAAGTTCCTGCTGTAGGGCCTGGTAAAGTCACGCCCAGCCATAAATATTCATGGTGGTGGTGGGCTCAGATATCGTGGAGTGAGGAGCCGGCGACGACGACGAAGATCACTCACAATCTCGGAGTCGTGTCTGACCCAACTATCCGCCGCATCCAGCTCTAGCCAATCTGAAACCATCACGATAACGCCTTCAGTTTCCTCTGATCCATAAGTCCACACATCAACAAATGTAACCCAGCGGGGGTAAGAGCTGAGGGGACATACCAAGACGCGTCATGGTAACCTCGCCAAGCTGGAATACTGGATTTGCCCTCCAAGTTTCCGCGCGATGGTCGGAGCCTTCTGGCCCCTCGTCAGGTTCTGATGATATGACGCACATGCCTCTCCATCTTTCCATCCACTTTGCCGTGGTAAGCGGAATGCAAACGGCATCGTAGGTCCTGGATCTGGCATTAACTATGAGAGGGGGGACTTGAGAGTCCCGTGGTGAGCGGTTTTCGAGGTCGCTAGATGAGAAAAAGGCCGCAACGGGCACGGGATTTTCCCATGAAGTCATGGCTCAGGCGACCGTTGTTGCACTTTGTAGAGAAATGACGGACGCGGCCACAGTCGTGCAGGATCGAGATTCTACCGTTGCTCTAGATCGAGTTTATGACGGTAAATCAGGGAACAACGATCTTCCGATGGGAGTCTGCGGGAAGAAAGAAGATCAAGGTTTAGCAAACCAGCTGTCTGATTATGTCATTTGATGTACAAAACAAAGTAATCTGAACCCCAGTTTGCCCACTATTCCGAGGTTTCTGCGTCATAATATGCACAGTCATGGTAGCTAAGTGTCTCCTTGTGCCTGAGTCCTCTCGTTGCTGGTTCGATCAGCTCATACCCGCAATCCCCAAGCCTGTGTAACTCTCTTCCCACTTGCTATAAACACATGTCGCTTCTCAAGAAAATGGATCTCACGGCTAGCCGTCGGTCTCGTCCGAATGCGTGTGCGTTGTCGAATTGGCGCCTCCAATGTTCGTCAATGTGTACCCAGTAACCAAGCTTTCTAACACGGCATGGCCGACAGCCTGCCTGAGTTCCTCGTCCCCGCGGCTTTCATCTCCTATCGGTTCGTTTTGAGCCAGATCGCTTAGCTGGTTCATGAACGAAGAAGTAAGGCGTTCTGATGCCGCTTCTTGTGACCCCTGTGAAAGTTGCTGACCGGAATCGCGATTCTCAGGTTCGCCGTCAAGAGAGTTGGTAAGGGTAGCAGTGAGCGAATTTAAAAAGTCTGCCACTTGTGAAAAATCCTCTTCAAGTGAGGCCGCTGGCTGGCACAGTCTCAGGAGGGGAGTGTGGATGACAAGGGGTTGGCATACCGTTAACCCCTCGCTATTTCGCCACATTAGATCTGCGCCGTTATCAACGAGAAAGCGAGCGGTTTCTATATTTTCTACCGTATAGAGAGGGGTATCACCGTCTTCATCGGACACGTTGACGTTTCCACCTGCAACAGTATGATCAGCTGAAATGAGCTGCCACCGACCTTCGTACCTTTTGAAATAAGGTAGGTCAAGATATCTAAATGACCGTAAGATGCGGCAGCATGCCTTTGGAAAACCACATGATTACAGATTACCGAGACATAGGGCTGGATCAGGAGCGCACATGGGGGTGTATGTGAATGAATCTGGTACATTAGGAGATATGGCTAAGTGAGACATTTTCATGGAATGGAATCAGCGGAGTTGGGGATTGGCATTGAAAAACTTGCAATGGTGCTCAATTAACTCCTGAACGCTTTTGAGGGACAGAAAATGGAGTGAAGAGGGTTACTGACCCTCACCCGAGACAGGTCACCATCACCAGCGGCAACCCATATATTCTTGTCGACAAATGTCAGGACAGACATTCTGTTCAGGACGTTCAGGACGGGAGATAAGGTCGGGTGGTGGCTGATTGAGATATTTGGTCTTGTTTGTTTAAATTTGACGGATATGATGGTCGTTTAGGGTCTAGTCTATCCAAGATTATTAGAATTTCATTCAAGTGGGACATGAAAGAGCGTACAGCAGTCACTATGGGCGTCATAAATTGAATCCCGACGACCTGAAACACGATTGGCCACAAAATTGCGAATGGGAATTGAAATTGGGGAGCGTGAGAAAGATTTGCCCAAGGCAGAGAGAGAGGGCCTTATCGGGGAGAGGAG